GATAGGTCTAGGTCCCTTTAAGTAGGCCTCTCAAAACTCTTCATATTTTAGTCTGAATGAAAATATAAATCAAATCAACCTTAATCTCATGAATCTATGAATCATTCAAAGTGTATACGTTGTTATAAAAGGCATCTTCTATACTAAGCTAACTTCATTACATTTAAACGATTTAATATACACCACTTTCCACTCCGCTGAATGTTTATGTTTTTATACCCACTATACGAAATCGTGATCACATCATCTTTGGTGACTAATTCCATCTAATGGATCTGTGATGGATTATGAATGTAGACAGTCTCTTTCATAGAAATGAACTGTTAAATTATGTTTATTTTGCTCTGCTAACCTTGTTTACAGGCTTTATATTGAATTTTTTTCAACGGTTTCAATTTTAAATGTTAAATAATGTTTCATTTTGCAGTTATCCAAACACCACCGACAGATTTTAGGGCAGCCAGTCCTGGAAAATATGACATTCACTTGCTATGGACGCCTCCTGACACAACTGCTAAAGTCGAAGTAAGCATGCCAATTATCTAATATGACAATCTTTCTATAATCTAGTAAAAACATACAATTGATTTGCTTTTTTTTGTCAATTCAAACAATTTCAAACACCAAGATCAAACCAAAAAAATTTGAAGACCTATTCCATTTCTGGGAATTGGGTGTTGTCTGATATTCAGGGACCCTCTTAAAAAATAATTTCTTTAAAAAATGTCTTAAGAAAAAATGTGATGTTTCTATCAGCAAAGTCTCTCTTCGTTGCATAGTTAGTGGAGTTGTTTTTCAGTTGTCAGAAAAAGTCCTGTGGTCACAGGAATTGAACCCAGGACCCTGGGATTAGAAGTCAAGCATCTTAACGACTATTCAACTCCATTTCAACATGCACATTGGCTGTATTGCACGCATAACTTTACTGCTAAAACGTCTTATCCGAAAGATGGAGCACTGTCCTTCAGCTAAAATATAAAGGAGATCAGTGGATTAAATTTGAACCGGTGACCAACATTAAAAATCATAATGTGTTTACACACAGCTGCTACTACCCAGTTTAGCTGACTAGGCTAAGCTGCTCTCTAAAATCTAACAAAATAGCCCAAGAGACACAGGACTAGTCCTATTAGTTTATTTTACTTGCGTTTTTTTTACTTTTTCACTATCCTTACAGACAACTCAGACAATTCGTACGGCGCAGCCCGACGTAGTTTCGTTCTGTGTTAGTTGAACGCAGATGCGATAGGTCTGCATTGAGGACAGTCGCATCATAAAATGCTAAACATGTCTAATATTCTCACGACTACATAGACTGTCCCCAACGATAAATTGCATCCGGCTGAGTCGTACGACGCTGATTTGGCCTTTACCAACCAAAGGCAAGCTTATTTTTGTTTAAGAGGTGTTTCATATATTTATAATAAATGTTATTATTTGTTGTTTTATATCATAAAATAAATAAATTTAATAAATTTAGCTTAAATTAAAACCAATTAGGCCGCCTTAATAGATTTTATATCATTAACTTATTACTCTTATTTTTACGGTTGTTGTTTTTGTTTTCATTGTTGTTCATATTGTAGCTCTCCTCATGATTTGTCCATTTTTTTTCTCTGCCAATTCTAATTCTTGTTGATTTTAATATTTTTTCGTTGTTGTATTTATTGTTGATATTGCAGTTGCTCCTACTTCATATTTATTGTTTTTATTTTAATTACTACTGTTGTTTTTATTGCTATTATCACTGTAATATTGTTTGTATTTTAATATTGTTAGTATATCCTTTTCATTTGTAATGTAATAATTAATTAATGAATGTATTGGTTGTAGTAATAATTTTTTTTGTTATTATTGTAGTAATTATTCATTTGATATAAATTCATATTTTGGTATTTCATATTCGGCATAAAAATCATAAATCACATGACCAAACTTGTCTCAAGAAGACACCATGTGCTGATAGCCCAACACAAGACGTGGGTATATCTTCTAATCCTTCTGGCGAAATAAGTATACAATAAATTACAAAACAGCACAGAAGCAAACATAAAACATCAGATAGAAATTGCCTTTAAAAAGATTGATAGAAAATAAAAAGTTACAGATAAAATTATTATCCCATAAAGAGTGTAAAATTTGTGTAACCGCAGTTACTTATGTTTTGCTCTAGAACTACGTTTTGAGCATGTCTTCTAGTCTATGGGAAGGAGAACAGATTTATCATGATGATAGTGGGCCCATCAAAAATACAGAAATTACTGGTAAGTTGAAATCTCTATTTCAAATAATTTACTGCATAGTGGTTGAAATTAGTTTTTCTTTTTAAATCAAAAGCAATCTTGGAATGAATTAATCTGGTTTCTGTAAACGTTCTTTGTGTGAACCAGATGGATAAACTTATTGCATACCTGCAGTGTTTCAGATGCTACCTCAGGCTATTCATTAATAAGCACTGAAGCTACTACCAGTCATCACCGCTTTAAGTATGGTGAAGTACGCCCCCATATGGATGAGTGAGATATCCTGAAGAATATTTTGATAAAATACAAGAATTGGTTCAGCCATTCAGTATATATATAGGGACCGGCAGTCGGAGGCATCGACCATTACCCCGGAGGCATTTTAGGAAAAAAAATTATTTATTTTATTTTTTGTTACACATCACAATTTAATGCATACCGGTAATTAAATTTGATATTTATGCTTGCTCCAAACCACTAAGTGTACTACTGTTTAGCTATAATAATGTAAAAATAAAATTTGGTGCTTGAGGCATTTGATCAAGATAATTTTCATGGTTGGAGGCACAAAAATATTTTTTCCAGGCCTGAATCTATGTATGTGGTATATAATTTCAAGTAACATTGGTATATATATTAAATAATTTAAATTAGTGTTCGTTTTTACTTTACAGTGCGCAAACTTTGCCCTGGAACTCAATACGTATTCCAAGTTGCTGCAAATAACTCTTATAGACAAGGACCCTTCAGTCAACATATTTCCAATAAAACAAAAGGAAAATTTCCAGATCCTCCAACAAACTTACAGGGTAAAGTATTGAGTGCAACAGAGGTAAATCTTCACTGGAAACCACCAAATGGAACTAGAGACGTAAGTCCAATAGCTCATAAATTTGAAACTTTTTCTTGGTTAACTTCCTTTCTAAAGAAAGAAATAACTAAATTTTGAATTATTTGTATATTTAAAAGTTAATATTATGAAGGAGTGATTAAATGTACGATATATAGGCTTGCTATTCCAAAACCAAGTGTACTGTCGCTAATTTTTAAACTGAGTAATTAACGTAGCATGTGGAAGTATTGTATACTTTAGTACCGAGAAGCCATAATACTTTTGCTCATAATGTTGAGACTTTCTCAACTACAACAGTTCTTTTCAGAACTACCTATGTGGTGTACCACAAGCTTCAACATATATGGTATTATTATTATTATTATTATTATTATTGTTGTTATTATTATTTATTGTTATTGTTATTATTATTATTATTATTATTATTGTTTATTATTATTATTATTATTATTATTAACTTATTATTATTATTGTTATTATTATTATTATTATTATTATTGTTTATTATTATTATTATTATTATTATTATTAACTTATTATTATTATTGTTATTATTATTATTATTATTATTATTATTATTATTATTATTATTATTATTATTCAGGGTTTGCATGCCTAAACCAGCATCAGTAACCAAAACAAGAAAACTGAATTTTTATTATATTCATATTTTCACATTGTAAGATTTAAAGTGGTAGGTCATTCACTGGAATCTTAGTATTGCCAAAGTTATGAGTAAAAGATAATGGCTTCTCTGTGACTCAAGTATACAATACCGCCATATTTTTTATGCTAATTACCCAATATTTAAACCCACATCAGGAATACACCTATTTATGGCGAGTTGATTGGCCGAGCGGTTAAATCAGGGGCACCGTAACCTTCAGCTCTAATATATCGGCGCTGGTTCGAACTGCTCATTCGCCAATGGCGAGACTTTCTTTATAAATTGTTTCGCGAACCAGATTTTTTGAGCTACCATATTTTATAGCTCCTTTACTCAATACTGGTTTGTGCGACAACTTAACCATTTTGCCACGACATGCCTCATATAGTCATGATGTGCCTATATATGGTCATGATGTGATATCATCATGACTTTATTTAGGCATGTCTCATGTTTTTGTCAAATATGATTGGCATCATGATTTTGGACTAGTCGAGTGGCCAAGCAGTTAGGCAGATGTACCATTAACTACAACCTTAACTTCGACGCTGGTGCCAGCCACTCCTTGCCCAGAGTTCGGTTGGTAGAACCAAGTCTTCTCGGATAAGGACTTAAAATAGGGGCCCAGTGTATACATCTTGTTTGTGTGCACTTTAAAGACTCTATTGCATCTTTCAGAAGAGTAGGGTTTACCCCCAATGTTATGGTTTATTTCACCCCCTGTCATTGTGGAATGACTGTCTCTTATACACATCTAGATGTGTATAAGAGACAGCAATACCGCCACATTTCTCGCCTTAAAGTACTAAGGTTTTCCGTACTAAGGTCTCATTTGGAAAAATTCAAAGACTGGCTTTGAAAATGTATGCAGTGTTGTTAAAACATTGCCTTTTAATTTGCCATCCCTACAAATCAATGGATATGCTGTCAGTTAAAAAAAAAAAAAAAATCTTTATTAGTTTTTGTGAAATGAGGATTCCCTGAGAAAAGCCCACCTCCAAAAATCAACAAACTTGTGTGCGCAAGTGGGAATGATCTAGATTAATAGTATCATCACGTTAAGTAGTTGACTTCTGAGGAGGCTCTTGAAAGATGGTGGCTAGTGACAGACGTTAGATTGACAATTTCATGTGATTGTGAAGAAAAGCAGAAAAAAACATTAAAGAAATATTGATACAAGATAACTTAATTGTTGTAATGTATAACGTAATACATGCAAAATTTTGTTCCAGTTGCATTAAATAAATACTGTACAATAGAAGACATACTGAATAAAGAAAATACAAATTGCACAAAAAATACAAGGTTACAGTAAATTTAGAAAGTTAGAAATGCTAAATACATAATCTAAATAAATAATTTTATCTTTTAAATTCATTGTTGTAAAGAAAGACCGATTTGTTGAAAAAAAAGAATTTCTGGATCTGGACAAGCTGTTATTAAGTGGATGGAGTCTGTCAGACTTGTTAGCGATATATACTAATCTGGCAGAAAAAAAAAAACTTGTTTTGAAAACTAGTAAAAAGTGAACTATTCCAATAAGCCACACCCCTTAGATGTTGTTGCTATGGTCTCGCATTCATTTTTTGACTTGTGTGTGTTGGTTGGAACTGCATATATTTCTTGTCACATTCTTATTGGTTAGTTAGTGTGATTGTCACAACAGAAAAGCCCATTAAATAGTCCCACTAGCTTTAACATTGCTTATCTATTTATCACCATGAAAATACTAACGTTGCAGTACTGAAATTTAATCTTTCCTTTGTAGTTGGTGTATAAGATTTTTTGGTCTGACAGTGCAAAGGATCTGGAGAAAACGTGGTCAGCAAACCAAGTAACAAAAAGTACGGACTACAATGTCACTAATTTATCATCTGGAGTCAAGTATTATTTTGCAGTCAGTGTACAGGATCAGAACTGTAAATACACACAAAAATCAAACGTCATACTACTGCAAACAAACTTTGGTAATTATACATACATTTGTATTATACTGTCTTAAACTCTGTCAAGACTACCAAATTTTCTTTGATAAAATACTGTTGTATGCCCATATATGAGGCACGTGGTGGCAAAATGGCTAAGTTGTAGCAAAAATTGAAATTTAATTATTAGTATTTTCAGATACCTGAGTATGTGATCTTTAAAATGAGGAGTCATTCATTGAAATTGGACATTTCAAGCCTAAGTTATTGGAAAGTGAAATTACAGCACTCTTAGAGTCAAGATAAACATAATTTTGAGAAATTGCCTTCCAAAGTTATTTGTGCATACATTGTTTAATAGAATTAATTATTTAAATAACATTAAATAAACAATTTGTTGATCACTTCCAGAACTAATACTTTGGGACATGATTAATAAGACATTAAACTGTTGACCTATAGTGAAATAAAATTGGATTTTTAGGCAATTTTTTTGAGCTACCATATTTTATAGCTCCTTTACTCAATACTGGTTTGTGCGACAACTTAACCATTTTGCCACGACATGCCTCATATAGTCATGATGTGCCTATATATGGTCATGATGTGATATCATCATGACTTTATTTAGGCATGTCTCATGTTTTTGTCAAATATGATTGGCATCATGATTTTGGACTAGTCGAGTGGCCAAGCAGTTAGGCAGATGTACCATTAACTACAACCTTAACTTCGACGCTGGTGCCAGCCTCTCCTTGCCCAGAGTTCGGTTGGTAGAACCAAGTCTTCTCGGATAAGGACTTAAAATAGGGGCCCAGTGTATACATCTTGTTTGTGTGCACTTTAAAGACTCTATTGCATCTTTCAGAAGAGTAGGGTTTACCCCCAATGTTATGGTTTATTTAACCCCCTGTCATTGTGGAATGATGTGAACATGTAGCTGTTATAAGCGCCTCTTTAAGGCTGCTAGATAATCACAGACTATGCTCATATGCAATTCAGCACAATGACGCTGCAAATCATGAGTTATTCTCCTACCTTTCCATTTACATTTACAAAAAACATATGGAAACTATTTGCAATGAGCACTATATTATTATTATATTATTATATTATTATTATATTATTAGTTCCTATGCATGTAATGCAATAGGAACTATTGTAATCACTCTGTCACATTTCTTTTGTTTTTTATTGTGTGTAGAATGTGTGTGCGTATGTGTGTAGACATTTATGCAAATGCGCATGCGTCAAAAAAAAAAAAAGATTTCCGACATTTTGTTTTACATCGCGATGCGAAGTTCGATGTGGATTTTCTGCAGAGTTCAGTCAGGGCTCACGCTAACCGATCGGCAAGTCGGCATGCATGAAACTATTTTGGTTTTACGGAAAAAAAATCAACTGCTGTGGCATAGGTATTTTGAAGAAGGCCTAAAATAAAACAAAAAGGTTTTAATACTTGCTGAAATACATCGTTTTTCCATTTAGATCTCCATTTTTCACTAACTCCATGCGACATTTTTTTCTGTTGTATGAGTAGTCCATAGAGCTATTAAACAACTAGAGTGTTGACAAGATGGCACAGCAATGCAGAGTTATGTATGTGTACCATCCAAGATAGCCGTCGTAGTAAAACGCCACCTTCAGGCTTAGTATACATATTATTACATA